TTGATGTGTTTGTTCTTTACAGAGAGAGAGAGAGTAATATTACTTAATCACCCTCCGTTCCGCACTCCCATGAGGGGATATTGCTAACATCGATCAATTCGCCTTTTCAAAGTCGAAAAGTAATTTCAACTGAAATCCTCTTTGGAAACAAATATATCTTGGCATTTGAAGTGATGGGAGGACAGTTGATATATCTGGGTACATGTTTATTTGGAATTATTATAGCTTTAACCGCATAATCAAGACTACTAATGAAAGTTCCCTTATAATTTGTGTTAACCCAAAGAGCACGAGTTCAGCTGAAAAAAAAATCAATTAAATAACTTAAAATATATTTTGAACGGAACAACATGTCAGAATCCAAATTCTCCAAACTATTCCTTTGTTTCTGAGTATTCATTTTAGTTTTTTGATGTTTTTGAATCGTGTCCTAGGCGGTGTAGGAGGTTACATGGGACTATTGTGTGGTATGAGTCTTATCACTGTGGCGGAATGGGCAGACTTCATTTTCATCTCACTGCTTCATAAATTCAAACCATGAAAGGAATGAATTCTGAAGATTGGATTGAACGTGTTTGCCTCTAAAGACTGATTTTCTGGAGAGATCAGCAGAGAAAGTATTGCCAAATTTGAGCATATACAAAAACTACAAAAGAATATGTGACGAATTGGTATGAATTTTGTGCAAGATGTGCAGAAAAGGCATTGACAAAGTTTGAGCCTATCAGTAAACTGAAAAGAATCGAACACAAACTACAAAAAAATGTGACGAATTGGTATCAATTTTAAAGAAAATGTATACTTCATTAATTCGATTTATAGATATTTAATATATTTCAGTAATTCGAAATATAAACTTTAGGACGTTTGCTGTACATATTGTGCCGTTAATCTTATTGTCGAGTCGGTTGAGAACGATATCCAACACTCTTTTCTCAGAAATCTCAAACTATCCCTCGCCCATGAAGTGTTTTATAAGCCTTTCGACAAACGCTATGAGCCCTTAAGTGAGAATACGAAATATATTTAAAAACATCAATATTTAACTTTTTATTTAATATTTCTCTACTCGTAAATAAATTGAGAGAGATCCAAGGAGGACAACTACTTTTACTAAAAAAAAAATTAACACTATTAAGCCCTATAGAGAATATTTGAAGCTCTTGTAAATTCAAGAGTAAGTTTAAATACAAATTGATTTCTGCAATGTGTCGCAAGTTTCTAGTATAGGGGCCTACTAGCTTTGTGATTAACCACCAATGGTAAGTCTTTACTTGAAAGTGCTTAATAATCAGTAGGTACTGCCAAGATCGAACACGCAACCTCCGGGGTTTGTTGTCTTAAATTATTTGGCATGTCTAGACATTATAGCCACGCCATGGAAAAGTCATGCTCGCAGATTATATATTTTTAAAATGGAAAATAAAAGTACCGAAAGTCTATCAGAAGACTATGGAGACTATCGAAATTAGGGTACCAACTTGTGACATTTTGACCCAAAATGAAAAAAAATCAGACATTAATCAGACATTATTTACTCCAGAAATGCCCAAATACCATGTCCAAACCCAATCACGGTTTCACATGTAAAGGGGGCACTAAATTAATTTTCTGCCATTATTGTGATAATTGATGCTCAATGTGGTGTGTTTTATTATCAAAATGGGTTTTTTGTCTTACCCGGGATAACACATTTATCGTTTATTTTATGCATGATTGCGTATGGGGACACTTTTACACGGGAGATCCAGTAAATGGCTTAAAATTCACAATTTTCAAGATTGCGATTTTTGTTATGATTTCACACTGATCAAGTGGGACATGTTATTAATGGAAATACATTTGGATATGCCCGTTAACCCAATAATTCTTTTTATTTCTCAGAAACATTACGAATTGCCCTTGTAAAAGGGACACCAAAAGAAGAGGACTTTGTTTACAGGTGAAACATTTGGGCAAACGCACTGTGAATCTCGCTCAATTTTTAAATCATCTAAATATAGTGCCATTCTGAAACAGTTTTAATTTGCTTTAACATAATGAATAGCAATTGTCCATACACACATGTGCACATGGTAGTATTTGAAGACATAATTATAAAAACCAAACAACATATTTCAACAGCAGTTTTTAAAATGTCGCAGCTTTGGTTTCCCTTTTACACCTTAACCGTGAACTATTTAGCTGTCAGGAAATTAGTTAGTTTCATGCTTTGATGCCAGGTAAAAGTTCCATAATTTTAGCAACTAAAATCATTTGTTGATATTTCACTGTTGGTAATACTAGGCCAACAAATATGACAATATAAAGAAGGACACCAACATTGATTGGCCCCACATTTTCGGAATACGTCATATACGTTTAAATGGTTATTGGACTTTTTGCCTCGTGTTTGAAATCTGGTAAAGCACATTAAGAAACACGAAATAAGTGCGGATATTAGAAGATGATACTGATCCGCTTTAAATTATATTTGCATCGCAGTTACTATATGGTACATGTAGTATAGAATTGTCCTCCCGCTGCACTCACCAAACATTTACGTTATCTGATACACTATATATACCATCAAGTGGAGAGGTTAATGAAAGCATATATCACATCACAAGAATACAAATAGGTGCGCTCTCCTTGGGCAGATTCAATCTTATATACTGCACACAGCGTGATATGGAACTATGCCTCAACTGAAGGCACGTATTCACCTACATAATGTGGTATGACGACAGGTATAACGTGATCTAGCTTATATTTATTATTGTATCCAATTTATTTGTCACAAAAATCTGCTTCCGCGGACTCTTTATTGCATTTCGAGAATGAATTAAAATTGCGAGTTTGAGAATTGAGTAAAAATTTGCAGCAAGTTCTTTTTTCTGATAATATTTAATTTAATTCTAAACATTATAACTTAATTGGTCAAGGATAGTCTACTTTATTTCTAATTTATAAATACCTAAAACAGTTAACCCATACCCATTGGTCGAGAGCCCGTCACGTGCATGGTCGGTCTTAAACGGATGATAAAGACATGGCTGGCTGGTCTTGAACATTTTTCCCTGTGTCACATGAAATTTGGACTCCTGTGAAATACAGTGCCCTTTACCGTTTTATTGGTTGAACGTTCGCAATCCTCACGTAGGCATGCGTAAATTTCTACCAGTAAGTCAGTATTTCATAGTCCAAAATTCACAACGAACTAATCACCACGCGCGCGCCAATCTACATTAATGGAGTTGTTAACGTCATTCTCGCGAGCTAGAAACATTGTTGAATTTTTAATGTTTGACTTGTTTTGACTTTTGGACCGAAAAGTTTTGATTTTGTGACCGAAAAGGTATTTATGAATGGGAATGATATGTGCTTGGTCGATATTAACTATGTTTAAGACTGGTTGGAGTCTGGAATGCTGATAATTACCCTCAATTCAATTTAATTCAAAATACCGTACTTTATTTATCCTTAAAATAGGCAAGTGCTGATAATTGCCCTCGGCTTGGCCTCGGGTAAGCACACATTTATTCCCTTAGTAAAACACAATATTGGTAAATAATCAATAAGATGCTGGTTTTCCTAATCAATAAGATGCTGGTTTTCCTAATCAATAAGATGCTGGTTTTCCTAATCAATAAGATGCTGGTTTTCCTAATCAATAAGATGCTGGTTTTCCTAATCAATAAGATGCTGGTTTTCCTAATCAATAAGATGCTGGTTTTCCTAATCAATAAGATGCTGGTTTTCCTAATCAATAAGATGCTGGTTTTCCTGACTGACGATTGATGGACTTGAGCAGGAGCGTGTTATCAATGCGCATTATTTCCGTGCGCACGCGTACTGCACACGAAGAAGTGTTAACCCTAGATTAAAGGAAACATGCAATATGATTTTTATGTCTGAAATACATTTAAAACAGCTCTCTTGCCATGTTGCTATGACTTTCCACCTCCTTTGTTGCAGTAAAAGGGAGATGTTTCAACATTTTAGTTTTTATGCTAATGTACTTTCCATATTCTTGAGCCAAAGCGTGATGTCATTCAAGGCAGAACAGCATTGTCTCTAGAGCTTTTATTGTGTACAAATATATATCAAACTTTTCTTCATTTTCTTGGACTAAGTTCCACTTTTTACTTGTTTATCATGTTAAACAGCTTGTTTGGACAATAGTAGTGGCCAGTATTTCTTCACAACTTTTTTATGGGTAATTTTGAAGGACTAATTGTTGTACTGTTGACATATTCACTTTTGACAAGGAGTACCTTGTGTGACAAAAGCAAAATGGCGCCGTCTTACATGTATCGATGTAAGGATTTGCTAATCATTGAAAAATTACCACTTTCTTGTCACTTCCAAGGAAAACAAGTATTAAGATCTTGTATGTATCGTTGCAACACATAGCAATGTGCATGAAAACAAGATGAGCTGAATTTCCACTTCATATTTCCTTTTAACAGGGAAAACAAAATCTATTCAATAAAAACTGATAGAAACAGGTGTCAATAGTGCCCTCTGGATAGGGCAATGGCTACGAGCTAGAGTGTGCCACTTGAGTACATGGGTGTGACAAATGTGCGGCATGTACGCTCTTCAGAGCATTCGCATGAAATTAAAGAAAAAGGCAGCGAAAAGGCCATAACGATCCACAGAAATGGCACCGCTGCGCTCTCAATATGCAGATTATAACTTAGGCCTAATCATGCAGGAGCGCTTTAAAGCCTATGATTCTGCCGCTCACTAATAGCAAAATACGCTGCTCCTTAATAAATTAATGAATGTGAGCAGAACATCATTCAGGATCGTGTGGCCATTCATCTCAACCCAACTGACAACCGTGCCAGCATCCCTTTTGTTGACTTTGCACCTGTGAGCTATGGAGCGCATTCTCGTTTACAGATGTCTTGCAGTATCTTATCAACACTTGCAGGTCCTTTATATCAAGTGAGTCGACAGGTAAATTGTCAGAAAATCTTCACTTGACATCGTGAGCCAAGGTACAGAACTGAAAATATTGGCACGACATGGATGACAGAGTGACAGTATTTGGGAAAGACAGCCGTGAAACGATCGGCGCATTAACGGTTATTAGCATGCCCGACGGCAGCACTCCGATGGAGGAAACTCGGCAAGATGAGCACAGTCATCGTACATTCGCTAACCGGTTCCAAGATTTTGGCAACAGTACAACGTTTCATGGTCTCAGCTATGTTATCAACAACAAACACAATGGACCCAGAAGGTAAGATCTTATAATTCCAAATCGAGAGTCTAGATTTTCGATTGTAACTTTATCACCAGGGCGCCTCATAAAGCTTTCCTTTAATTAAACCAACAGTTACTTTGTTTGTTTTTTTCTAAAAACTGAAACTACACTTTGTCAAGATACAGGGTGTCCAAACAAGTACTAAATGGGTCACCTAACCCCTTTTTCAAATTTTGTTCAAAGCACAAACTGGTCAATTGCTTAAAAAAAAAAACCTTTATACGCTTCTCTCCATTTCATTTCATGGCATCTGCTTCGGTATGATACGTTATTTGACAATGTATACCAAATAATTATGTCTTGCCATTTTCGACAACATTTGGATAAAAGGTTTATTTAAATTCAGTAGTCAACAGGTTTTCAAGCCATAAATGGACGTTTCTATGGAATCTCATTTCCCAATTAATTTCTTGCATGGATGCATTTTTCCAATTAAAATCATGCATGAATAACAGACCATCATTTTGGTCTTGCTGTGTAACGTTGATGAATGGCAAACAATAGACATTATGCAGAAAGCATTTAATGCATGTCGGCCGTAGGCTACTCAACGGTATTATGGCCCTAACATAGGTAACGAATTGTACAAATTAAAAGTTGTTTATCATATAAGATAAAAAAAAAGGAATGTTAGAGACAGCTTTCTAAATTTGCAATACTTGAAACAAAAATCTCCCTCGCCTTGAATTTAAACATCTACACCAATATATCTATAGCGTCTTGAATGAACATTTATGTGTACGAGTATGAGTATAAGTAGGCCTACTTTGCCAAACGAGTACGAGACTACGAGTACAAGGCAATTTTTCCACGAGTTTACGAGTATGAGTATACAAGTATTGAAAAATGAACTCGAGTACGAGTACAAGTAGGAACAAATTTCAATGTGTTCACATATTTCAAAGGCTTTTTGCTGTCAAACTATAGGCATTCAAAAAAATGAAGAAGTCTCAAAAACAGTAGAAAGCTGGGTTCGTTTCCTGCATGAAGCGCTTAAATAATTTTGAAATTCTTGCGGGAGACTTTTTGCAAGTGTACGAATACGAGTACGGAAACGCAAAAAAAAAAAAGGTAAATAAGGGGGTCTATATATTAAGTTCTGAAATTGGTCCATTGTTGACATTGCAAACGCACAGCAATTCACGTTATTTGACTTGTTTTCACTATATAACACAGTGGTCTTCTCTGTGCTAATTATATAGACCAGTCGTGTTAAAGAGAGATTTATTTTCTAATATTTCTTTTCTTTTTGATTACGTTTCAGATTGTTGTGGTTTGTGATCGTAGTAGCCATGTCAACCTATCTCATTTACAGTGTCACATTTTCAGTCATTACTTATTTCAACTACCCCATCACCAGTGCCATCTCCATCAACTACGTGGACAACATCACCTTCCCTGCTGTTACTCTTTGTAATTTCAACCAATTCCGCCGATCTGCACTGAATACTGGTCAGTTAAAAGTCCTTAGTGATATCTATGGACATAATCCCCCAGAGGAAATCGACTTTACACCATTTGATGGAAGTCAAAACATTGATTTCAATGAAAATAATTTAAAAGAAATCTCCCATCATCTGGATACAATGTTGATCGATTGCAAATGGAAATCTTCTCAGAAATGCACGGTTCAGAATTTCACCAGTCGATTCACTGATCATGGCCTCTGCTTCACCTTCAATGATCCTAAGGATGTCGCAGAGGGATTAGAAGTTAGTAATGCTGGGAGGAATGATGGATTGTTCCTACGACTGTTTGCTGAGACTAATGAGTACGCATTCGGTGAGAATACTGCGGCTGGCTTTAGGGTAAGTGAAAGCCAACACATTGAGACCAAGTCACCCGACATGTCTACCGACAGGCAACATGCAAAACAACCAACTTTCGAATGTTTATACTGTACTCAAAATAAACGGTAATTACCAACACTTTTAAAACACCAATATTTGAAGAGATAAACATTGCAGAATAGAATTCAGTTTGCTAGTCGGTGCCACGTGACCATAAAATACAATTTTGTTATTAGGTGTGACACGGTCTTCAAAGTAACCCAACACGCAGACGGTTTCCAACCAGACATCCTTGAATTCTTTCTCATTAAGCAGCTAACTGAAAGTAAAATGAACATGATTCCAGAGATTTACCTTTTTCTTCGTATTCTTCACAGATTCTGCTGCATTCCCAAGGTCTCATGCCACTTGTGAAGGAACTTGGAATCTCTGTGTCTCCAGGCTTCGAGTCGTCTATTGCTGTCAGGAAGCAAGTGGTTTGTATCATGATCAAACCTTCAAGAACCAATCAATCCTCCCTGCCATTCCTAAACACAATAAATCAAAGCAATTTTACGCCACTATTTATGCACACACCATGACAAATATATTTCAATTATAACACTACCCTCGCAATATTTAAATACCCAAGTCCGATAATGGTAACACATTGTTTGCAAGCATTTTAATGACCTTGATTTTTTTATTGATTTTTTATTTTCAGTTTCAGAATCTCCGTTGGCCTTACCGGTCGAACTGTACGTCGTCTCAGTTGAGGCATTCTACAACTTACTCTGTACCGACCTGTAAATACGAATGCAAGATCAAGTATATCGCGGAAAAATGTGGTTGCCGTGACTACAGATGGCCAGGTAAATAATACACCTGTTTTTATTATCAAGTTTTGGAGAACAAATCCAGAAAAATTACCCCAAAATAGAAAACGTGCTTTCTTCTCGAATTTCATTAAAAAATGGGCAATCATTCCATGTTTTCCTTGACAAAATTCAAACTGTGATTTGGTTTAATTGGTATACTTGCTTAATCGCAGCCTGCTTCCAATCGTATCCCTAGATTTCAATTCGGCTAGTTGTTTCAATCTTTTCGTATACAATAATTTGTATGCAATCAAATGTTTCAACCATTACAGGTACGGTGCGTTTTTGCCAACCGTTGGAGCATTTCAATTGCATCCACAAGTACGAAGGTGAACACAATTATTATTGTTTCAATTATTTACATGATAGTTGGCTTTAGTCGTTATATTTTGAAGTTACTACAGGGTCCCACTTGCCGATCATGATATCCATTTCATTGTCGCTTTCTTGTCATTTTCATTTTTTCTCTTCAAGTTGAATACCAGTTGCAAGAGAAGTATCGTGACTGTCATTGTCCTGTATCGTGCAAGTTGACAACATATGACAGTCGTATTTCTATCGCTTACTGGCCATCCCATGTTTTGCCTAACCAAAGCCTCAACTATACCAGGTAACGTATACTTCGATGACTTCTCATGCCCTGCCGTGTGTTTATCAAGATTGACTTTATCAGTCTTTGTGGTCTTGCAAAATTAAAAGAAGAAGTCTCATGTCTATAAGAAGTGTCCGAGGTTTATTACGACCGAAATGATGGCCATGCTATTTTTCAAAACATTAAATGCAAATGAATGATTTGTATCTCGTTCATTCTTCATTTCCAAGGAATAACTATCTGGACGTGTACATATTCTACGAAGAACTTATGTATGTGAATATGGAGCAAAAGGGCGCGTACGATTCGTACGCTTTGCTGAGTAAGTTTGCGAATCCTTAATATTAAACGCTTGTCCGATGACTTTGTTCTTTACTTTATTGCCCTCGGTTCCGCACTGCCCCTTGAGAGGATATTGCTAATATCAATCAATTCGCCTTGTCAAAGTCCAACAGTCATTTCAACTTAAGTCATCATGTAATCACCTCTCAAGTTGGAAACAAACAGACCTTGGCATGGAGAGTTCTGAAAGGATATATCTAGCTAAAAGCAGCTCATTGAAAATGTTGGTTATAATTGCATAAGACTAATCGTTAACTAATTTGTTAACCCAAAGAGCACAGCCAACTCAGCTCAAAATAAAAATAAAATAAAAGTGTAATTTTGTGAACGGAAGAATAATTACGAATCCAAAATCTTGAAAGTAACTTCTTGTTTCCTTGTTTTCATTTTGGGTTTTTTGATGTTTTTGAATCGTGTCCTAGGCGGTGTAGGAGGTTACATGGGACTATTGTGTGGTATGAGTCTTATCACCGTGGCGGAATGGGCAGACTTCATTTTCATCTCACTGCTTCATAAATTCAAACCACGAAAGGAATGAATTTTGAAGATTGGATTGGACGTGTTTGCTTCTTACGAATGATTTTCTGGAGAGATGTGCGAGAAAGTATTGCCAAATTTGAGCCTAAAAGTAAACTGAAAAGAATCGAACAAAAACTACAAAAGAATAATTATGTGACGAATTGGTATGAATTTTAAAGAAACTGTATAATATTTACTTATATTTCATTCGTGCGATTCTCAAAATATAAATCTTAAGAAATTTGCTTTGTACTTGTAAGATTTCTGATATCATCTGAGATTATCTCTTTTGCTGTACGTATTGATGCCATTAAATTTATCGTATTATCGAGTCGGTTGAGGGCGATAGCCAACACTTTTATTCTCAGAAATCTCAAACTATCCCTCGCCAATGGAGTGTTATATAAGTCTTTCGACAAATGTCATGAGCCCTCAAATGAGAATACGAAATATATTATAAAACATCAAACTTTTTTATTGAATATATTGCTACCTTTAATTATAAAATGAGAGAGATCCAAGGAGGGCAATGACTTTTACTAAACAAATAGCAATCAAGAGTAAGTTTAAATTGATATTGATTTCTGCAAGAATGTAAATTAAATTGAAGGTGCTCTCGATCTTGAAGTAATTGCTTTGTGATTAGATTAACCGATGGTTGTTATCTTTCATGAGAGTGGTTGAAAATCAGTGGTTGAAGCCTGAAGGTAATGTCAAGATTGAACACGCGACCTCCAGTTTTAGTGTCTTACATTATTTGGCTCTATTATTATAGTCATCCACCTTGTGCGTCAGACCATTCAATTAACTATCTCGATGAGGTCAAATGCATTACCTGTTGCTTAATGAATAAAAGCCATCGAGAAATCATGCTCGTAATTTTTTTTTTTCAAATGTTAAAAGAAAATAATAATAACCGAAACTCTAGTACCGAGCACATTCAGAAACACAAAAGAAAGGTTAAGTTTATAAGATATTTATTGATCCACTTTACGTATTACTTTCAATGAAGTAAATCTAGTATAGTAATAAAGAAATTCGTATTGAATTACACATCTACATTCATGTTGTAATGTGAAATCTAATGATGAATAAAGTATCCGTTATAGCGTAATAAAATAGAATGAAATGCAGAAAAATGTAAAGGAGCCATATTCCTTTAAATTATATGCTACATTAAAATGTACGGGATGCTGTTGTACCCTGAGTAAACGTTTCGTGCCACGAAGTAGGTAGGCATACAATTATATCTCCTACTCCTTCTATAATTATAGTCATTCACCTTGCGCATCAGATCAATCAATTAACGATCTCGAGGAGGTCAAACGCATTACCTGTTGCTTATTGAATAAAAGCTCCTTGTTTACTTTGAGGATGAGGATATATGGCCCGTCATTCATCATTGTGGTCAGTTGGTCATAACTGGAGCGTAAGCGCAGAACGTATACAAAGACAAGAGACATTTGTTTTCCTCTAGTGATTTTTTTAAATTTTATTACGCCGAGATTGCCTTCAATCTTCTTCAAAAGTACATCATTGTAATAACCAATATGTATGCTTGGAGAGAAAATACGGTAACTCCAGACCGTTTGGAGGACAAAGATTCTATTTTCTCCAGCGGTAGCCATGATTTCAACATTAGATCCACCATAATTGACGTAGATGTTAAGGAGACGAACAAGACCAAGCGACGATGTACAACCTGTAATGAGACTGACACTCGTTCATTTGCTGAAAGATTCCGAGATTTTGCAAGCAGTACAACCTTCCACGGAATCAGCAATGTGACCAATAACAAACATAATGGATACAGAAGGTAAGATTTAAAAATGTACATTTTAAATTTTTATAGAGGCAAGGTTACCTTTAAGCACAAATGGTGGACTTGATAAATTTAATAATGGTTTAAATGCAGAAATTCAATGTATTTCTTCATCTTATCAATGAAAGATTCATAATCAAGTCACTCTGTAAAATTATATCCAAATTATAATGACTCTTTATTTTAACCGTTTGTAATCCAAATAAAACTTAATTCAAACACCTAACAACACATTACACCTGATTTTTCAATACATTATATTCATATGTTGTTGTTTTATGCAATGATTTCAGTTTCGAAATTTATACACCGTTAGTTTAATCTTATTGCTAGGCCAAGAGCAACTCAAACTAGGAAGATCAGAAAACAACAGAACTTAAGTCTTAAAATTATAGTGGCAGAGGATATGTTTGTATTTATATTATGAAAGATATGTAGAGGGGAAACCAGATTGAGGTGAGGCATTGCAGTGCCTCACCTCAACCTGGTATCCCAGACAACGTTTAATATTGCAGTGCAATAATAAGCGGTAATTATACAGCAACCCAACAAAGGTTCATTACCAACTCACGGTAAAGCTTTTAAGGAATTAAAGTCAACATCGTATTCCATTAGTCGCCTAGATACGAAATGGAAAGTGTGTTTACAAAATTAACATACAAAAGACAGGGAAGACAAGATCACTCATCGCAAAATTGATAACTTGAATAATTGAAACTTCATAAAGTAGTTGAGACTAATTTTTCGTTCGTATTAAGCTCTAAGCGAAAAGGTAGGCCATTATGTTTGTGCCCAAAACGCCCACCATCCAACCACGCCCTTCTCTTTCTGGTTTTTTTTTTTAAGCTTTATGAAACTGATTTCATAATTTTTCTCTAATTCAGAATTATTTGGACGATGGTTGTGCTCGGTATGACATCATGGCTCATCACCAGCATTACACAAACAATGATTGAGTATTTCCAATATCCAATCAGCAGTGTCATCTCCATCAACTACGTAGAAAACATAGCATTCCCGGCCGTTACTCTCTGCAATTTCAACCAGTTCAAAAAATCGGAGTTACTCAAGGGCCACGCAGAGGTGCTTCAAAAGATTTTCGGACCTGATCCACAAGTTGAAGTTCTTGACGTGAATATATCTGATATTCCAGCCTTTGATCGGGAAACATCGGAGGAAATCTTCGCTGGCATGTCCCATCAATTGGAAGATATGCTAGAAGAATGCACATGGAAGAGTAGCGAGAAATGCACGGCCCAGAATTTCACCCTTCGATTCACTGATCATGGTATTTGCTTCACCTTCAATGATCCAGATAATGCCTCAGAATTATTGCAAGTCAGTAATGCTGGGAGCAGGAATGGCTTGTTCCTACGACTATATGTTGAAACTGATGAGTATACATTCGGTGAGAATACTGCGGCTGGCTTTAAGGTACGTTAGACTCCTTGTAATGATACTTTCGGAATTTTCAGAACATTACTTTTAATTTAAGCATCACAGCTTTAATATCAACAATGACTTTCCGCACGCGCACTAACATCAGATTCCGATTTGTTACGGTGATTGAACCTTGAAAAAAAAAGTATACGTAATTTGTGAACTGCGTTAATAACTTGAGTGTAAAATTCTAGAATCTCATTTTTTTTTTTGACAGATGCTGCTTCATCCTCAAGGCGTAGTACCTCTTGTCAAGGAACTCGGTTTCTCTGTGTCTCCAGGGTTCGAATCCTCAATTGCCGTTAGACAAACTCTTGTGAGTATAAAAATAAAATTATATTTGTATTGCAAACAACCCGTCAAGGGTTTGTCAAATTATATCGGACGGTGATCTCCGGACAAAATGGTCCTTTGAAGTCCATAGCCTTGCACGAGTGGGACTCGAACCCACGACCTGCTTACTACCAAATACGTCTTTACTGATTCCTGAATCATACTGAACATTTCCAGAAACACTTAATTCTTTTCTGATGCAAATTGTACAGCTTGTTTATCTAGTGTATGATTTAAGAATAATCGAGGAATGTGTTGTTTTGTGGTTTCAGGTGAGAAGTTTACAGCTGCCGTATAAATCCAACTGTACTAAATCAAAACTGACATATTCCAGCACATACACGGTACCGTCCTGTCGATATGAGTGTAAGGTCAAGTATGTCGTGGACAAGTGCGGATGCCGTGACTACAGGTGGCCAGGTATTACTAAGTTGCTAGCATTTGTCTTGAGTCTTACAGGTGTAATCTAGAAAGACTTTCCTTCACTAGTATCCAAAACACTACTTCAATTTCAGATCGAAAGTCAGAAATATACACTCTATCCTGCACGGATGCGCGTGCAGCATTTGCGCTTAATTTGTGATCTAAAAAAAAAATCAGAACACGTGGGGGAGAGAAAATCGTCAGAGCCGATATCCACCAAAGAAATTACAGTAGCTGTGCGGTAGCAACATGACCTCATCGATGAGGTCAGGTCTCCTGTCTATCCTTATTCTTATTCATATCCAATATCTTGTTCCAGCCTATCAGATGCGGTCGGGCATCTAATATCATTTTGTTTCTAGACTCATTGCATTGTTTGAATGTGTTTATTTTCTCTAATTAGGTCCAGCGCCTATCTGCGCGCCACAGCAGCAAGTTGATTGCGTGTATCCACAGGAAGGTCAGGTCATTCATATATTTTATAAAGTGCTATTTTACAAAGCTATTTCTTCGAACTCTGTTACGATCAAAATAATACAGCTTGCAAGTACACAAACGAAAGTGTAAGAAGCCTACACAAACAAAAGTGAGGATGTTTGATTTTGTCGTCACTGTATAAAATAACTGCACCATTTTCACAAATTACTTTCAAATCAATTCAATTCAGCATGATTTTATTAGAAAATCACGAATGTCAGCCACAGCTGACTTGCACGTGATGTACATAAAAAAAAGGGATATTTAAAAAAGAAATTAGGTGACAATTTGTGCCTCGATAATATTAAGTCCTTCCGTTTTTGTCATCTTGTGATTGTGGTTGGCCTTAATGTAGCCCTTTTTCACGTTTTAACTTATCCCCTGTTTTAGTCGAGTTTCAGCGACAAAACATCCAATGCACTTGCCCTGTTTCCTGCGAAACGACGACGTATGAGACTCGGATTTCTCTTGGCTTCTGGCCGGCCGGTCACGTGACTGACTTTTTGGAATCGTCTTTAAACATGACAGAGGAACATGTCAGGTGCGAAGCTTTCTTTAAACAATAATGGAGAAATCTCAGGTCAGATGGCATCCCTTTGTGTTTCTTTTATTTCTTCAAATTCTGTTTTACCTTTACAATCTCAACGTTGTGTTTAATAAGGGCAGTTCATTTTTCAAGGATTCATTGATATCAATATTTTTTTTTCATTCGAAAAACAGGAAGAACTACCTGGATTTATACATCTTCTTTGAAGAACTGATGTACGTGGAAATCGAGCAAAAAGGGGCATATAGTGTAGCCACACTGCAAAGTAAGTATCGATTCATTACGAGGCGGACATGCCATCTCACTAATTTTCAATGGGCCATCATAGTAACAAAACTACCTGAGCATTAAATATAATTTAAGAGTCATTGCCTTGTCAGACACTTATTTCAAGTTGATTTGACTTGGATTTTTTTCCGGTTAGGCCTACTTAATTTTGTTTTCGTTTATCCGTGGTATACAGGTAACATAGGAGGTTACATGGGACTACTTTGTGGCATGAGTCTGATAACTTTGATGGAATGGGCTGATTTCACTCTGGTTTCAATCATCCGGAAGTGCCGATCAAGTAAGAAGTAATCGAGTCCGGTGGAGTATGATATTATGAGAATGACTTTAAGAGACTTGTCAAATAAACTATATAGGCCCTACCTTTCTTTCTTTGATGAATGTTAGGCCAAAGATAGAGCCTACTGAAATGAAACTGAAAAATGTAGTCTAGATGGTTTATGATTTATCAATGTTTATTATGAAAATATCTGATTGTTGGATTATCATAATAGATGAATGGTCGAACTATGGATCGAGTTGTCATGTCATTATAAGGCTGATATATTAAAGGAAGCTTATACTAAAAGAGGCTATAACCTCAAATTGTTGGTTTCATCATTAGAAATAGATCTGCATCTTCAAAAACTAACCGTAGTTGAGAAAATATTATTAAATAATTTACGAGTATTATCACTTTGAAGTCTTAATCAGATTAATGTAACTAAAAACGTTTATGAGTGTGATCGTGTGTCGTTTTTAATTAGAAGCATAAGTTACTTGGACAATTTTTGACTGAGATCCAAAAAATATATAAATACACTAATACGAAGCTGTATTTCATGCGGCTGTGGACGGCAAACTCAGTGTAGTAGAGAAAATCAACACCTCATCGATTATGATTTAATTTACAGAGTATTTGGTTATTTCTCTGATGAAAAATTTTTCAAATTAATTCTCATTAAATTAATGGCTCCATATTTTTGTTAATGGATATAAATTATGAAACTCTTGAGTCGTATATGCACGTAAGCACAAAATATTTTAGTTTTTAAAATATAAGGTCGGCTCGAAGGACACATTTTCAGTGTTTTTATGGCTTAGAATTGTAACCCAAAGTCATTCAATTATAATTCACTAATATATTCATTTCTACGCACATTTAAAAACTGGTGGAAATAAATAGCGCCACCAATAACGAAGGCGTTCGTTTCTTATTATGTTGCACGCCACGTTCGTGCATAACATGCACATGGATCTTCAGAAGAAAACAAAAATGGGTTAATAAAAGACATAGTTCCAGAACAATGCCAAGCTAATTCCGAGTTTTCTTTTACTTGGTACTGTGAAAATCGTCTTTTATCCATGAAATTGTGCTGTGCAGATGCGGACTTAGAGACGAGTTGAGTCTCGAGACAAGTCGGAATTGTCGACCGACTGCCTTTTCTGATTAATTAATATCTCATTCAAAACAACGCTTTGCAGGATTAATAATTAAATTAAAAAGGAGTTTTGTGGATACTATAAAATCATGAAAAAGCGACAATGTGTTCCGACAGTGTGAAAAGATATCAAGAAAACGCTCTTGTTGGCGATGCTCGCACGCTGCACAAACAGTTATCATCAAGCACGCCCTCTGGCAGATGCCGACAAGTGCCCTCCACAATTCAATAACGGTTTTCGGTATAGTACAGTGGAAAATACTCAGACTTTAACTGAGACTAACAACTCATGACACTGTCTCCTATTCAGCTTGCTTTGTTTGGACTCTTTGTAGTGATGACGGCGTTGGGCAGGTATAGTCCCTGCTAGACTTTAACACAATCCAAAATTGAAATTTTAAGAGGCAACCCTGCAACACATCTGCAGCAACAGTGGACAAATTATATCGGCTGCATGGATGTTTTCGGTCGACTTAAAATCTTCACTCCTTCATAGGCAATCTCGGTCAAGCGTCAACAAGTGTTGTGAACATGTCCTCAGGGAAAACTGTCTGCAAACAAGCTGACTTAAGAAAAGGAATTGCCGAGTAAAGGTAAGGTTACATTATAGTCATTTGATATTTTTGTAGTGTGTGGACTGAATCAAATTATCTTATTCGATTTCCTATGTTTTATGTTATGGTTTTGGTGGACAAAGATATTGAGCCGTTGCGCAGGACATTTTTGTGCACTGAATATTGCCATTTTTAATGGTCATATAGGAATTTCTTTAGAGGACGGGTCCTATCTACATATAATAATACTGATATGGCTAATTATTAATTTACATTTTCATTACCACAGATTTTTTTTTCCCTTCTCTTAATCCATATGACAACAATTGTAAAGCTCCAAGTACCGTCAAATAATCTATGATAAAAAGCAACCTTATCATAATTATTGACTAATCTAAGCAATATTATGTTTGTGAAATCTCATGGTGTACTCAGAGTACACAGTATCACTTTCAAACATCCACAGACACTTGATATTTGTACAGTTGCACCCTCTTTTATGCAAACAACATGGTAATAACGTGAAGCATATCTGTTACTCAACATGGAACTGTCGAGTTACTCTTGTAGGTGGAAGCAACTACTATCGTGCGTGTGGGGTAAAACTGAAGCTACAACAAATCAATAAATACAATTCACCTTATCAAGAAATTTTAGTCAATTATTACGCTACAAAGCATATTTGTATTCTTTATTATTTTCGGAATATTCAGCGTTTTGTGGTGTCTATGAAATTTACGCTAAGTCAACTGTCTTACTTTTATGCAGCCTGTCTTCTTAAATATCAAATCTAAAATGCTAAACCTTGATTTTTTCGGTTCAGAGTGATTTACTATAAATATATCACTTTCTGGTTTTGATGCCACAACTGATCTAGACTCATTATGAATTTACCGAGACTGATCGCACCCTGAAGTAATTCATATAATCATGCGTGCACAAGTGACATCCCAAGACGATGTACGGAAATGAACCATGACACCAAGTTATCAGCTTGTTACTTGAGCGTGATAATGTCAAGACAAGGTAGATTTACTTGTCATCGTCTTACAAGACTTGTTATTGTCTGGTTAAAAAAAAACGGGTCTTGACTAGCTTGTCAGCAAATTAAAACAGAAGTAAATGACAGTTTCTTATTTGAAATCAGAAAATCGTAAAAGCACAAAAAGGGGTCGGAATTTTTAAAGCCTTAAATCACACTCACATCTGAAGGCACAGAGCATCTGTCTCCCATTTGGACGAAATAATTAACCAAAAAACTGACTCCAACACGAAAAAGGGAAAGCATTGAAAATGAATTAACTTCGTGGATGTTTAAAAAGAACTGGTGAGAAAATAATAACGTCGCGTGCCTCACTGAGTGGCAGATTGATGACAATTGCATGGGGCTGCTGAGGAACTTCAGCAAAATTCAAGGACATACTTCGAGACAATTCTCAAGACGTTTCATGGAGACGTCAAGGATGAATGTTAAGGATCACTGAGCTGTAAATCATGAGTGTTCAATATCCTTACCTTGCACATGTTTTCTTTTCTTCAGCGATACAACCCCTTTTAAAAGGCATTATCTTCGACAACCCTAGCTTGAAATTATCAATCAATATACCGAATCATTCCGTGCTATACACTTCGCTGGTTTTAATAGCATAACCAGAGAGAAAAAAATAATGACTGAAGAATTGTGCGCAGATGATTTACTACAAATTCAGATTTCTAGTTTTAAAATGCGAAAAGCAAGCAACTAAAACTTGCATTACATTCATATCAAAACAACATGGTGCCTCGTAATTCTGAAAATTTTATGGGCACATTGAAAAGTAAATTAAGAGCTCCAGCTTGCGAATTGCTCGTATAACATCACCAATTTGCCGTCCATAACAAAAATAGGATTCATATTTCAAACATTAGCTTTCTCGGAAGAGAAGTGTGTGTTTATTTTGTATTATTATTATTGCTAATGGAAAGCGTACGTATATAAACTATATACACCTTTCTTCATCATTTTTGTTTCCATTGTGACAAATTATAACTTTGAGCAATTAGACGTCTGCATGAACTTGCGATAAATTATTATGCAATACGTCCTGTAACACTACCGATAACGGACTATTGACAACACCGGACAAAATACTGTAAAAACGGCCACAGGTCGGCAAATTACCCCTGCGTACAACTACAATAAATTGAAACGAGATCCGGCTTGTTTTCACTCCTCGATAACTGAATGCACGAATCTGAAGTGCAATGTACACCATGTGTATCAGTATCAATTGCTTTCATGATGTTGTGTTTTACGTCTTGTCATCAAACACTGAAGCTAATTAGAGTGTAAGTTAATATATCACAGCGCCGGTCTGAGCGCTGCTCGGACCCCTTGATTAAAAAGGCTTCTCTCTGCACCATTCAGAGTTTCAGACCGGGAAAATTCTCATCGACAAAATGGTTTCATAAAATACCCTTTTACCACAAATTACTGCATGGTTTTAAGTTTAAAATTTTACAGAACAAAATGTATAGTAATAGAGTGCGTTTTACAATCGTTCCATGTCATGTATTACTTTCGACGGTGAACAACGATATTTGTATAATCCATAGACTCTTAGATAATGAAGAATCTTCTTTGATTGGGCAGAGAGTCACTGCAGCTTCATCTTGCCTGCAAATCTTCCCAATTTAGGTCGATCAATTTAGTTTCGTGACTTGTTTGGACCAGAATTACGAAATTGACATCTAATTTTAATGCCAAAAAGCTTGCATTTCTATAAGAGGGAGGGGTGGCAAGCAGTATGATAAATACTTGCTTTGTACATTGAATTAATGGTATCGACTCATACAATTCATATACTGCCAAGACTGTATTATTAATGTGGTATCTAAATTAAACAACACTCGTTCAAAATGGATACCACACGATGTTGTTGGTTTTTGGAGTGTATGCTAATTAGTCTGCACCGCCATCATGCTTGGATTCAAAACTCAATCATGCACTATCAGCAGATATTAAATGTCAACTCTGAGGAAGCAAACTAATTGTTTTTTTGTGTCCACCAACAGGATGATCCAAGCAGGTGGGATGTCAGTTCAAGAGGGATATTGATGAGTAGTAGGAGGATACAATAACTATCTTCATCCTGACTACTCCAAGTGATGAACCTCAGACACGTCTGCCTCCCATGTTCAGTCAACAGATGTACAGCTGTGCAAGGTGGTACCATAGCTACGCACCATTAACGCTTCCCTGAAGATTCTCTCTCTCTCGCCATCTCACGTGACGTCACACACGACATGTGCTTTTGCAGCAAGTGCTCTGTTGATTCTGTTGTCAGGGAAGTGGCGAGGGATGATGAGTGAGAGTTCTGATTTGGTAATGTACCCAGCTTGGGCGGATGCATTTCAGAAATCGGATTTGGTTTTGCAATGCACTTTATTTCCAATTTTGATCACGTTGGAGCAGGAGCTGTTTTCCACAGATTGAATATCCGAGGTTTTCTTCAAAACCTCTTCCTACTCGGGTCCAGTAGTCTTGGGATCTGTAGGCCATGTGCTGCGGTGACATTTGATGATTGATGATTTGCTCCCTAATTCCTCGTCTGAGTTATTTCCGGTAAACACTGATTGTTATCTATCAGCTGAAGTTGACAAAGCCATTAAGATTTTCATCACCAAAGGTCGAAGTCGAACGACAACTGGAGGGATTACTGCTGATGACTGCGCGCTTTCAACAAACTACAGAAAAAGCAAAAGCTGATATAATTGAAAACATGCCGATGTGCTAAATGTTGTTCACTTCTCTACCAACGACTTTAGTGTGTAGCAACGACGCAAAACGAAAAGACGGAGAAACACCACTTCCTTCAAAACGTATCGTTCGATGCCAACAAACGACAACCATCGCAAGCTTATCAAGCGCGAGGACAAATTATTAAAATGAAATTGACCAATATGTTGGAGGATGGACAAACTAAGTAGATGGAATGTTTGTCTTCTGTCGTGTACTGCCAAAAATCTGCGAAATAGAATTATCGGGAGTTCCATGGCAGAAGAGAATGATTAACACAACATTTTGACTGACACGTTGGTTGAACCAAATGTATGTGATCACTCCGTCGCCACTCTTGCTATTCAGCATTGATTGATCTCTGAATGATAAAGAAGATATGTGTTCGAATATGTACGGTAATCTAACATGTTATGACGATTTAGCTGCCAGATACATACAAGCTTTCTTCAGCAGCACTAACACAGTTTTGATTATATGCGGTAACACACTTGCACTTGTAGTTGTTTATCGAACGAAAGCCCTTCAAGATGCCGCCTTCTGTTTCCTGATGAACCTTGCTCTAAGTGACCTCTTATTGGGTGTAATCAGTCAACCTCCTTCCCTGTACTATGCCATTACTTGCCATTGGCCAGGCGGTGAGGATGGATTTTACTGCCAATTTGTTGGTTTCTGTATTTGTTTACTGTGCTCTGTTTCCATCATATCACTTGGCTTGGTCAGTTATGAACGATACCATTACACAGTCCATCCATTCAGACACATTGCCAAGTTTACTTTCCGTCGATCTTTTTATGCATGCGTTATTGTGTGGTTATATTCTGCTGTTGCATCCGTTTTCCCTGTAGTTGGTTTGTGGAATGGCGTGGGGTTACAGCCTTATAATGCACTCTGTAATATTCAATGGGAGGAAGAACCCATCTACATGTGGGCGATGGTTTCTGGTGTCTTGTTTCCATCCTGGGCATTGATCGTTTTCTCGTATTTCCGCATTCTGAAAGTTGCGCGTAAAGCTCGTAAGATCGACGCTATTAGACACCAAATAACCCTTGGTGCATCGGTCTCAAACATTGACAGGAACATCCCAACATGTTCAGCTGGTGTTGTTATAGATAATGATGACAGTACAATCAGTACGATTAGGTTGGGGGCATCAACAAGGTCTCGGAAACATCGACCGACTTTGAAGAAAACAATGAAAAGTAACAAATGTACGTTGACTGTCAGTCTATTGGTGGGGACTTTCATAGTTTGTTGGACTCCTTACGTCATCGTCAACGTCATCCAGGCCATACGGTGTACACCCAATCCGTTCGCAGCCACTGCGTTTGCGCAATGGATGTGTATCTTCAACAGCGCTTGCAATCCACTCATTTATGGACTGACTAACAAAACCTTTCGGGAAGGAGTCGGCAAGTTAATGCAAAGATTCAGATGTTGGAGTCAAGTTTGAATCTGTATACCGTGCAAGAAAACGTCACAATTTCACTAACTAAAAATACCGCTTTGTATGTTATAAGCACTTGTTCAGAGTACGATTTAATTACCTGGGAAGGTAATTCCCTACTCAAATGGGTCATCATCGTTTACATATTTCCAATAAGGCTTCACTGTTGTCGTGTTAGAATTTCAGTGATCGTCTTTATCGCAAATGTCAAGCAAATGTATAGTATTCTTTTGAAACATACGTCAAAAGTTTGAGGATGTACTCAATTGTTGATTAAAAAAAAATGTATAAATTATTGTGTATTTTGTGAATGTACCCAAAAAAGTGACTTCAAGCACACTCTTGTTCATGGGTTAATATTGGCACAATGTTAAGTCTACCCACGTAGACTTTCACCCCAGACGGTGATATTTTCACATGTTGCCAAGGATTTTAATGGCTTGTCCGCCTTCTTGCTCCCACGTAGACTTTCACCCCAGACTGTGACATTTTCACATTTTGCCAAGGATTTTAATGGCTTGTCCGCCTTCTTGATCCAAACAATTTCCTGCTTGATTGATCGTGTCCTCTTGGGTATCTAAGACAAGGACACGAAGCATCTTATACTGTTCAAATATATCTAGTAAGAGTCGAAGTTGCTTTGGGTTTTTTTTTTTTTTTTTTTTGGAGGGGTGAGTCGTTATGATTTGTCGTGTTTGCCTTGTTTTGTGCTGTTTTGTTATGTTTTGTTTTAGGTTAAAAGAAATCAAGTAAAGAAAATAAGAAACTAGTTCATTGTTTGAGTTACTCCTGTTCAATTTCCGTAGGATGGTTATTGAGGTTATTATTGTGTAAACGTATCAAAGCATTAAAAGAACTTTGTTGAGCAAAAAAAACGGTTATAAACCTTATGTAATGTATATTGCCTGAGACTGTGTTTGCAGATTCATGAAATAGGGCCAAGGGCGCGCGATGAGAGCTATATAGATGAGTACATCAGTGTCAAATCAACACATACGGAAACAAGGTCCAGACTGAATTAACAGGGTAATAATAAACATTCCCTTCAATTCAGATTCATGGACGTCGAGGCAAGAAATCCAATTCAACAGCTGATACAGCACATTGGGTTATGTAAACAAGAACCACTTTTCACATCATGAATGTGAAACACAAAATAATTGATAAACAAAACTGAAAATAGCAGTCATATCAAATCTCCAAAACACAAAATTCGTAATTATGACGGTTTTAGAAAAGCGAAATCAATCAACAAAAAATCAAAGATCTGTCAACAAGCATTTACAAGGGATACAACAGAACTGATGATACAGCAACATCATCAAATAATATGAATTGTCAATGGCCTTTCTCCTCCTTATTAATGCCCTGTGGTGGCATTGAGCATTTGCATTGCCATAATTATACCACTAATGAAGGCCAGAGTCTAGCAGATTTGTGCATTAAGTTCATTACCACAGAAATCTCTTACTTATTGTCATCAGATTTCCATTTAGAATGCTTCTTATACTTCCAACATAATTAGATTATCGGTCTCTCCGTCTGCTCAATTAATTACGGTATGATACACCTTATACGATATGCTATGCTGTATAGCACTTTGGTGCTAATGGATTTTTTGCAAGTGCACTGCACACGAAGGTACATAAGAAGAGATGCCAGGATGAAAACGGATTAGGAAATTGAAGGTCATTGATATGCTGTTTATTGGTAACAGGAGACTTTTATGACTGCTATGGGTGTCCCTTTGCACGAAATATCGGACAAAGTGGAAATTCTCGTTTTCATTTTGTCCTTAGCATAATAAAGATGAAAGGATGACCAGGGAAATGATATAGGTCTCCACTGTACTAATGACAAAATCAGTCAGAAAGGGAAACTGATAGATTGCATCTAAAAGGTATAACACGAAAAAATATGGATACGATTGTGTGCTATCCAGCTTGGCTACTACAAATGTTCAACTAAAACTGGAATTTACAATCTACACAAGGCATTTTAATTGTTCTATTTCTTTTTAATTTAGCATTGATCAGAAAAAGAGAATCAGACATGGGCGTCGTGAGGGGGGGGGGGGGGGCAGGGGGATTTGCCCCCCCCCCCCGGAAAACGAAAAAAAAGGGGAAAGGAAAAACAAAAAACAAAGGAAAAAGAGGTGCGAAGCCATATTGCTGTTAATTTGATGGGGGGAGGGGGTAGGGAAAATGCGCCCCTGCTCACGCTCGGAAAAATGATAAATTGAGAAATGAAAATAATGAAAAAGTTAAGGAATTTTTGGGGGAAATTTGCTTTGCCCCCCCCCCCCCCGGGAAAAAAATCCTGGCGACGCCCATGGAATCAGGTGACCCAATTAAACAATAAACTTGTTAGAACAAAAATGGTTTGTATGAGTATATAAGTCTAGTACTTGTATTTCGGTTGCTTACCAATTTTCTATTTCCGCAATGAGGATCATGGTTGCACATCACTATTGATGAGGCTCGTATTCCGGCTGCAAAATTAAGATGATGAGTCACTGATCAACATTTGTATGCAATGAATAGTTAAATTTATGTCTTTCACATAAACAAATCACATATTCATTATGACACCAAAAGTAGCAATTGACTTGAATAATCCTGTACCAAAGCACTGTACATTCCTTTCTGAATTTCCTGGAATACAAGTGTTGAGAAAATAATAAAGATTATCCAGAATAGCACCCTAAGTCAATTAACAATATTATTTAGTGTTTTTTTAAACAAAGAGTTAAGATAGTGTCTTACCCATTGATGAACATGTATGTATTCTTACAACAACAACAAAAACCACCAAAAAAAGGTCTTTTACATGTTTTGCAAGCAGCTAAAGTGCACCCATAAGTTACTGTTTGGTCGTTTGCTTTATGTTTAGCGCGATAGCAGGTTCTCCACCTTGTACAGACCATAGTCTTATAAAACCTCAATATCAAATATATAATACTTTGCTGGGTTTACTACAAAGGGGGAAAATTGCTTTTAAATTAGGCTTATGAAGTAACCTTTCATGATGGGAATTAAGTTGTGCCATATAAGGATCACCATACTTATAGCTTCTATTAATTTAAGTAAGATTTGGGAGGTTTTTATACAAAATTAATAACATTAATATTTCAAAATGACAAAACATCCAGACACCCTAGCCTGAAAGGGAAATTTATTGAAGGAAAGAATCAGTGGTGTAAAGTCACATGGGACACGTACCCCTCCCCAACCCCCTCCTCCCCCAACAGATGGTTGTGCCTCCCCCCCCCCCCCCCCACCAACAATTTAAAATCTTGAATTGAACAAAATCATTTGCCATCAGTGCCCCCCGGGAAAATGCATGCAGAGTCTGCAGGTGTCCCCAGAAGTTTAACCCTCAGTTACACTATTCGAAAGAATACATCATAAGTTAATTTGATTTATAACAAAAGTTAATAAGATTGTCTTGTAACTTTGCATGGCCGTTATAACTACACATCTTCGAAAAAGAAATTCTTCCACATGGTGTTACCGCAAACCTCAAGATGCTTCAGAAATAATGGGTAGATTTGGGGTTAGTAGTTTATTGTTACACTGACTTGTTTAAAGTTTTGTGGTCATGTTATGACACCATTCCAAACACCAAGTAAAAATTTCTTGTAGTCTATTTTCAGACAAAACAGAGCAATTTATAGATGTCAGGGAATTGCCAGATCAGGGAACCAGACTAGCTGGCTTGCACAAGTTCACGGCTGTGTTACCAATGGCAATATTGCAAACGAAATGTGAAATAACTAAATTTGGTGAATTTGGGGAAGTATTTGAAAAAAAGTCAGCCATGAATTTCCAACGATGGTTGGCAACCGGCAAACCATGCAAAAGTTCCACTTTTCTCGAAAATATATGCCATGAGGTGCCATAATTTTATAGGATGCTTGAGACTATTCAATACAGTCAAGTTTCATTTTTGTATTTCATACAAATTTGATAGTTCTGTATTCTAATGAGTAATGTTTGCAAACTGTACATTACCTTCAAATCTAGCTTATAGGATGGGTTGCCCTATATCACGGTACTTATCACGTTCCTCGTTCGGAATAGAGATTGCCCACTAACCTTCCCGAATTGTCCTGTCTTTTGTGTAGTATAACTCTTCCTTTTCAAATTGATCTAAACAAATCCGACGGTGGTGTGGTTTACAGGGGCGGTTCTAGAACCAATATTTTTTTTTGGGGGGGGGGGGCTAAACAGCAGGGTGGATCCAGAATTTTTTCAGGGAAGCGTGCTGAAATGTAGACCGGTTATTTTCTCCAGACACCTAGGCCTCCGGTGAAGGGGGGGGGGGGGGGTTTGTGCCATATTTTCAATGGGGAGCGCCAATAAAATCCTACAATCATTCACACTATATTAACTACAAATGCACCCTTGTCACGACATTTTCTTTAGGGGGAGACCTTTTGCATGTACATCACAATCCTTCTTTTTGCTAATGCACAATCTTCTTACGGAATTTATTTTTGGGGGGGCTAGACAAAATTTTCGGGGGGCTAAAGCCCCCCCCCCCCCCCCCCCCGTAGAACCGCGCCTGGTGGTTTATTCCGCGTACGATGCCTGTGAAAATATATGGGCGGCCATTAGGGCAAAAAAGACAATCACAAAATTAAAGTTAAACAAAAATACAATAAAATTAAATGCAAAATAATAAACAATAACGTACAATTAACAATAAAAATGTAGGACAACAAAATAAAGAAACCCAAAACCAATTGAATCGTAAAAAAATAAAAACACAAATTAAACATAACAAATAAAACATTCGTGTTAAATGTACAATAAAACACACATTAATCTAAACCCAAAATTACTGTAAGTCCCGCGTCGAATGTAAACCCCAAAATTACTGTAAGTCCCGCGTCGAATGTATAGCCCAAAATTACTGTAAGTCCCGCGACGAATGTAAACCCCCAAATTACTGTAAGTCCCGCGTCGAATGTAAACCCCAAAATTACTGTAAGTCCCGCGACG